TATTCCAAAAAATCCAAGAGGAGAGTACACCTCCAACCTCTTTTTATGAGGCCAGCATTATCTTAATTCCAAGAAGAGTTATAGGCACTACAAAGAAAGAGAAGTACAGGCCAATATCCCTGATGAACAGAGATGCTAAAATCCTCAACAAAATACTAGCAAATTGGATCCAGCATTACATTAGAAAGCTCATACACCATGACCAAGTGGGATTATTCCAGTGATGCAAGGTGGGTACAATATCTGCAAATCAATAAATGTGATACATCATATAAACAAATTGAGAGTTAAAAATCATAATCATATCAATTGATGCAGAAAAAGCATTTGATAAAATTCAACACCCTTTCTTGATAAAAACCCTCAGCAAAATGGAAATAGAGGGATCATACCTTAACATAATAAAAGCCCTACAGCCAACATCATACTCAATGGGCAAAAACTAAAACCATTTCACCTAAGAATAGGAATGAGACAGGGATACCCACTTTCATAACTCCTGTTCAACATAGTACTGGAAGTTCTAGCCATAGCAATTAGACAAGAAGAAAAAAATAAAAGGCGTCCAAATTGGAAAAGAAGTAAAACTGTCATTATTCTCAGATGACATGATATTGTACATAGAAAACCCTAAAGACTCCACCAATAAGCTACTAGACTTAATAAATGAATTCAGCAATTTAGCAGGATACAAAATTAACACCCACAAATCTATCACTTTTTTATACATCAATAATGAATTACAGAAAGAGAAATTAAAAAAAACAATCCCATCTACCATTGCAACAAAAAAAATTAAGATACCTAGGAATGAACTTAACTAAGGAGGTAAAAGACCTGTACTCAGAAAACTACAGGACATTGAAAAAAGAGATAGAGGAAGACATAAACAAATGGAAGTCTACGCTGTGTTCATGGATTGGTAGAATCAACATCATTAAAATGTCCATATTATACAAAGCAATCTATAGATTCAATGCAAGCCTTATTAAAATACCAATGACATATTTCACAGAACTAGAAAAAAATCTTCAAAAATGTATTTGGAACCAAAAAGGCCCTAAAAAGCCACAGTGATCTCAAGAAAGAACAAAGTAGGAGGGATCGTGCTACCTGATGTCAAACTAGCCATAATAATCAAATAGACCATAATAATCAAATAGCATGGTGCTGGCATACAA